GCTAATTTTTTATATATTGCAGAGAAGGGGTCTCACCAAGTTGCCAGGGCTGGTCTCAAACCCATGGGCTCAGGCAATCTACTCACCTCGGCTTCCCAAAGTGCTGGGATTACAGGCTGAGCCACTGAGCCTGGCCTATCTTTATAAAACTGTATTTTTAAAAAAGAAAAAATGTAGAGAGAATGGTTTACTAAAGCTTCATCACTCAGCTGAAACCCTGATCAACTCATGGACAATCTTACTTCATCTACAGGCACCATTCTACCTCTCCCTCACTGGCGTGTTTTAAAAGCAAATTCAAGATATTATTTCATCTGTAAATATCCTGTTTATTGCTCCAAAAAGAAGAACTCTTCTTAAAAACATAATCATGATACTGTTATCACATCCCCAAAAATTTTAAATAATACCCTAATAGAAATAAATATCCTGTGCTTGTTCACATTTTACCCAGTGTCTCATTAATGTAATTTTTTAAACAGCTGCTTTGTTCAAATCAAGATCTACACATTACTTTTGGTTATCTGTTTCTTGTGTTTTTATATTATCTATAAGCTTTCCTGCCCTCTTTTATTTTTCTTACAACTTATTGAAGAAACTGAGTTGTTTGTCATGTATAGTTCTCTACATTTGACCTGTGCTGACTGTATCACTTCATTGCTCAGTGATTAGCTTTTAGATGCTTGCTGCCAATTATACTATAAATACAATATAATTGATAATACATCAACATAGTCGCTGCTTCTTTAGTCCTTATTAATCACCATGTCTTTTGTGATACAAATGATCTCATTTAATCTTTGTAACAACCTCATGTGATAAGGATGATTATCCTCAGTGTAGAGATGAAGCAGATGAGGATTAGAGATGTTAAAGAAATTTGGCCACAGTCAATCTGCCAGTAAATATCTGGGTTCAAACTTGGGTCTGTCTGATGTTAAAACTTACGCTGCTTTCTGTCATATGATAATATCCCCTCACATTTCCTTTGCCTGTGGTTTGTGGTGGTGGTTTGTTTTTATCAGCTCTAGGAAGCAGTCGTTCAGCCCATCCAAAGAACATACTTCTACATTTCAGCTATAACACTTAGGATGCTTTCAGCATCAAGTAACAGAAAACTTCATCTCAAATTGACTCCACAATAAGGATATGTATTATCTTATACAACAAGAAATCCAGAAATAGGGCAGCACCAGTGCTGATTGATTCACTGACTCAACAACATCACAGACTTATGTTCATTCTAACTCTTTACTTTATCATCATCAGTGTGGTGGCTTTATCCTAAAGCTAGATCCCCTGATGGTTACAAGATGACCATTCCAGTTTCAGGTAACAGCCAGATGCAACAACACCCAGTAAAGACAGTGGCATGTTTCCCTGTATGCATCCATTGAAGAGCAAAAAACTTTTTTCTCAGAATCCTTCAGCAGACTTCTCCTCAGGTCTCACTGGTCAAAACTGGGTCACATGCCCACTCTCAGAGACCAGTGAACTTCTCTCCTGTTCCCCTTGACCACGATAGGTTTAAGGGTGTACCTCTGAGATAGTAACAGGATGGACACCCATACAGGCTTCTGTGAAGAAGGAGAGAGGGGACTCGATATTGAGCAGGCAACCAACATTATCTACTACCTGTTCCCAATGAGGTATGCTATATATTCCATTGTGAATGATTAAATTACTTCAGTATAACTGCCACATAGCTTTGTTTGTTTTTGTTTTTTTTTTACTTTCTGCCACGTGACATTTACTACGAATGTATTGGCTTCTTCATTTACAGGAAGAAAAGGCTACACAAGATGATCTGTGAGGTCCCTTCCCGCCCTGGGAGTTATGTTTCACTTTTTATATTTGCATTTTCTAAACAGCAAGTAGAAAAGTTAAGCCTACAAGATATGGTCCAGAAATGATGGTGGGTTTCAGCTGACAAGTCACAGGCATGGCTGACATCCTTTCGTCCTTAAAATAAGACACAGGCATTAGATTTGAAGAACAGGCTGGAACTGATCTTTTTTCTTTTTTTCTTTTTCTTTGGTAATATCGTTCTAATGCGTTTGACACTAAGTTAAGTGTTCTACATTCCTCATTCATCCACTAACACCTAATAGCACCCAGCCCTCATCATACAGAGACTGATCAGAAGTTCCTTTTCAGAACTGTCTTTAGTTTGGCGTCAACATTCTCCTGGAGCTTCCACATGGTTCTGGGACTATAGGATAGCTCTTGTATATCTGCTTAGGCTGACAACTATGACCTTGAATCATTTCTTTGTTTCCTTTTACAGCCTGCTTCTGAAGCAACGTTCTTTTCATTTTACCACATGCAGCCATTTTTCCATGTGAGGAATCACAGGAAACCAAAGAAAAAGATAATACACTACTGGGTACTTTTGCTACTCTTCTTCCAATATGAATAAAATTCTTTATTATTTTTCAGCATATAACTACTATCAGTTTTCATTTATTTATTTATTTATTTAAGTCAGAATCACACTCTGTCATCTAGGCTAGAGTGCAGTGGCACAATCACAGCTCACTGCAGCCTTGACCTCCTGGCTTGGGAAATCCTTCCACCTCAGCCTCCTGAGAAGCTAGGACTACAGGTGCACACCACAACCCAGGCTAATTTTTTATTTTTTATTTTTGTAGAGACAGGGTCTCACTATGTTGCCCAGGCTAATCTCGAACCCCTAGGCTCAAGGAATCCTCCCACCTTGGCCTCCCAAAGTGCTGGGATTACAGGTATGAGCCACTGCACCCAAAATTTTTCTGGAAAAACTGCTGGCTTGATCTCCAGACAGCTCCATTCTTATTTAACTATGACTATAACAGTAAAAAGTCAAAGACATCCTGTCTGTAACACAGGACATTTTGAATAACGAATGTACAGGAAGGCCAGGCACAGTGGCTCACACCTGTAATTCCAGCACTTTGGGAGGCCGAGGTGGGAGGATTGCTTGAACTCAGGAGTTTGAGACCAGCTTAGGCAACATAGCAGACCTCTTCTCTACAAAAACAATAAACAAAAAATCAGCCAGACTTGGTAGTATGCACCTGTTATCCCAGCTACTCAGGAGGCTGAGGTGGAAGAACTGCTTGAACCCAGGAGATCAAGGCTGCTGTGAGTCTTGAGGTGCTACAACATCCCAGTTTAGGTGACAGAGAAAAAAATTATACAGACACACACACACACAAAGGAAAATTTAAAAATGGGATTTCAATTGTTTTGGTGACACCATCATTTCATTTTACTTTTTCCAGTTCAGCTTTGTCATTCTGACAGGAGGCCCAGGGTATAATCCATTCCCACAATTGACTGTGAACAACACCAGTCTCTCAGTCAGCATCTTCTGTGTGCCAGTGTTCATCTCTAAGACCCAGTGTTGCAACGGTCTTAGACAATTAACTTTCTGATTCAGCCTATCTGCTGGGGAAGGTATGGCCCGGTTTTGAAATGCACAAAGGAAAAGACAATGCTGAGGGTGCCCACAGTAAAGGGAGAGAAGATAGGCCTAATCACCTGCCGGATGGCCTTGAATTAGTCATATCACCTCTCTGTGCCTCTAACTGAAAAAACATCCTCACTCTGCCCATCTCACAAGGTTGTTGCAAAAATCACATGAGGACACAAATAGGAAAGTATTTTCACAAAAGCAAAGTGGTGCTATTATTTTCAAATGTGGAATTTCCTCTGCAGCACTTTTTTTTTTTGGCCACATGACTACAGCACACCTCATGCCAGATTATAAAGCTGATTCACCTCCATTCACCCTTTGTCTGTTTCAGACAGAGATCACACTAGCCATGTGGCATCCATCCCTTTGGTTCACTTTCCTCCACCACATCTCTAAATGCAAATCCCACCATAATGTGAAATACTGAATAGCAGCAACTTGGAAAACTCAATATAGCTTAAAATGTCAAGATAAGAGCCATATGCACGGGTTATGCTTAAAGTATGCAGCAAGGGTTCACAATGGAGAAAGCGACCACATCCAACTAGAAAAGGCTTCTAAGCCGAGCTCGGTGGCTCACCTGTAATCCCGCACTTTGGGAGGCTGAGGTGAGTGGATAGCCTGAGCCCGCAGGTTTGACACCCGCCTGGGCAACTTGGCGAGACCTCATCTCTACAATAAATCAAAAAATGGGCCGGGCGTGGTAGCGCGCGCCTGTAGTTCCAGCTACCTGGAAGGCGGAGACGGAAGGATCGCCGGAGCCCAGCAGGTCGAGGCTGCGGTGGCCGGGAGCGGCCACTGCACTCCAGTCTGGACGACGGAGTGAGACTCCAACTCAAAAAAATAAATAAATAAAAAAAGAAAGAAGAAGAAAAGGCTTCTAGAAGGTAACCCTACTACGTCATGTATTTTCATAATTCTGATCTGTGTCCTAAATCACCTCCCCTCTCCAAGCTTCATGCTTCAGAAACAAGATAGTATTTTCTGTATCTTTGTAGCTCGCGAGAACCTGGCAGAAGAACCTCTCAGGACATATCCAGGGATGCAGTGAACCAGCTAAACACAGACAACAAGCCCGGTGGATTTCAACATTTGCCCAGGCCAACGAGGCCCACTATCTATAGATGAGCACTACACGTAGGACTTCCCGAGCCTAGGAACTCCCTCGTCACTCCCAAGGAAAGAACCTTTACTGAGTATGCACTGAGAGCCTGACACGGACATGTGCTACGAGCCGTTTCATTCTGACCATAAGTCTTCCAGTTTCAAGCCTATTCTGCAGATGAGAACGCTAAGGCGCAGACAGGCAAAGTCGCCAGGTCTCACACCTCGTGAAGCCACCGCATGTGCGTGGGCTCCCCGACACCCTCACGCCACGACTTCAGATGGGCCTCCCTCAACTCCAGCTCGCTGACATCCCTCCCCAGGCTACTAACCCAGCCACTCTTCCCACGCCTTCGCCCGGCCAGTAAAACGCGGGGCAGGCCCGGTCTGTACCCGAGTCCGGTCTCCACGAGGCTTCCACGTCAAGGTGCTCACTCACCCCAAGTCTCCCCTCGAGCTTGAAAAGCCTGAGCCACCACCCGCCTCTCCGAGCGTCTCAAAGGAGCCGGCACAGCTCCTCCCCGCGCCGAGGCTCCTCCCCTGCAGAGCGGTCGCGGGGTCGGGATCCAGATTCCGGGGGGAGGATACCTGCGGGGAGGCGCGAGGGGTGGGGACGCCCAGCAGCGCCTAGCCGGGCGGGGGTCGCTCCTCCGCGCGGCGCCGCGCGCCCCCGGGAACTACGCTTCCCAGCCTGCTCCGCTGCAGCCGCGCCCGGCCGGAGCCTCCTGTTGATCGTCGCGCTCGCACGGGCCACGGCGCCGCCCCTGCGCGCCCGGCCCCGCCACCTCGGGGCTGACGGACTGAGGGCCAGCACCGCCGGCTCCGGGATGGGCGCACGGACTGGTGAGCGCGCCTAGGGCGGGCGGGGACCCACCGGGCCGG